TGAAAATACGAGCCATGTTTAGCTAATCTGAATTCATTGATAAGGGGAAGCAGGGAGCAGTTTCAAACAGTCACCTTGTTCAGTGCTCAATAGTCAATACATGTCTGACAAAAACGATCAGCATGCTCTTCGGGGATGTGGACATCTGGATGAAACCCTTCTGAAGGTTCTCCTGCAAGTATATGTGGAGAGCCTGCAGTTTGGGTTTGGAGAGGACATATATCCAAACAAATGAGATCTCAGCTTCAGGCTGGAGATCAATCAGGCAATTGTAAGTCTGATGCAGGGGCATGATGTCTACCTTCCCCTGGTGAAAAACATTGGTGAAGTCGTGGTATTTGTGGGGGATCTTGGCCACAGTAGGCAGAACTGAAGGGGGCACTGAGGCTCCTGGCAGTCTTGCTCCCTGAGGGTCGGGGTCTTCTAGAAGGCAGATTAGCCGGCAATACTGGGATCTGAAGTGTAGGATCACCATCCACCAATGAATGTGGATGTTAGGCCAAGTCATACCTAGAATGACTGAAGCATCAGGGGCCCAAATTAATCTGAGTTGGAGAGTTTCCTGATGTCCCCAGACAATGAGAACCATTACTGGCAAGGTCGGGTAGGTTATTGGTCCCGAGGAGAAAAGAGACCCATCAATAGTCTTGACCAGATCTGAAGAGTTCTTGCATATGTTGGGAACCGCGTGGGTCTTAGCAAAATTCAAGTCCATAAAGTTAACCTGAGCCCCTTGAGTTGACTACATGAATCTTATCACTTACCAGAAGTTGAATCAATAGAGGTATTCGGAGTTGCACAGGGAACTGACTTGGGGGTACTTCTGTGCCAACTATGGCCCAGGGGTGCTGGGAACTACTGGAGAGGGGAGAAGACCAGCTCTGCCCTTGGGGCTGAGGAGCTGGCATTTCCTGGTCCCAGTTCCACCTGAGTCTTTGTTGGACACATCAAGGCAAGATGGCCAGGTTACCCACAATACAGGCACAAACTTAACACCAGATGTAGGTGTTTCTTTGAGTCAGAGAATCAAACTGGTTGGTTTGCAACAGCTCAGATGCCAGGGAAGACCCGTTCGGATGGGATGTTGTGGACAGGATGGCTGGCAACCTCCAGAGAATCCAGGTATGCTTGCAGTGCTGCTCCATGAGGAGTTATTTGATTCTGATGTACAAGTTGATCAGCTCATTCAAACTGGGCAGAGGCTCACCCGTGTGAGCTCGTCCTTTATAACCTCGTTAGCCCCAGGCAGAAATAGTGGTGCTCTGCCATCTCATTCCACCCAGTGTAAGAAGCCAAACAATGAAATTCAGTGGTGTATTTGGTGAAGTGCCAGCATCCCTGCCGTAGGGCTTGAAGGATTGTCTTGGTCGCCTGTGCACTGTTGGGGACATCAAAGATAATGCATATGGCTTGAAAGAATTTGCCTAATTGTTACAAGAGGGGGCTGGACTGTTCCAGGAGGAGGGAAGCTCAGGCCAAAGCTTCCCCAATCAACAAGCTTAAGATGAGCCCCCCCCCCCCCCCCATTGGCCTGGTCTGGAGAGAATGATCTACGGTATAGTAAGAACAGGAGCCAATGTTGGTTCAAGAACCCCTGAAACTTGTCCTGATCACCATCAAATTCATCAGGCAGTGGAATCTTCAGCACTGGGAGGGGTGGGGGCAGAGTTCGGAGAAGCCAGCAGAACAACCTGTGGCTGCAGAGCCGCATTCTATGATTGCTGAATGGTTAATTGTACCTGCAGATTCTGGACAGTGTCCACCAGTCCTGATGGGACCTTGCTTTAAAGACCGCTGTCCTTAATTTTTTGAGGCTGCTCAATCTGTCAGGCAACTGGTATGAGGGCAATCTAGCCTAGTGATAAGAGCAGGTGGCAGGCCTAGTGGTTGGAACAGGCATTGAGAAGCATGAACTAGAATCAAAACCAGAGTCAGTAGTCGGAAGCTGAAGTCAAGGGTAAAACCAGAGGAACTAGAGCAAGCAGGTGGCAGGCAAGGAGGGTGTCACAGTCTGTGGTGCAATCCAGATCAGTGAGGGGTTGTGTCACCATTAGCTCTGTAATCTTGGGTGCCTCACAATGCTTTGCTGTTGTAGCTGCCAAGCTTGGCCACTCACAACCACCCTCTGAGCATGCAGGTCACACCCTGATTGTCTGTGTGCTAGACAGCCCTGGTTCAGCAGATCTGACCCCTTCGGTCTGTGTACAGCCCCACAACACTACTCTGGCTTCTATCAGCCTTAGTTACTACTAGCAGGATGATCCCAACACACTCCCAGTCCCAAATTTTCCCAAAACTATGTGCTCTGCACTGTCCAGCCGTCTCCTGGTCAGTTGAGAGAAATAATATGGTTTGTTTGCTCCTTTAACGACACAAAAACGCATCACAGCACATTAACTTAACTGGGAGTGAATACACCCTTTCTTTTAAACACAGAACTGAGTTGATTTATGGTAAAATAAAACAAATTTATTAACAATAGGACATAGGTTAAGTGATGGTAAGTAACAGGAATAAAGTTAGAAAGGGTTACAAGCAAATAAAAGTGAAAACATGCATCTAAAAGTCTAAAACTTAATCTAGCAAGATACAGGCTTTGTTCAAGGTAGTTCCTCTTACCAGTCATTCTTTTTCCTAGCCATGGCTGACTTTCCCTCATAGAGAACCTTCCACAAAAGTACAAGGTGCAGACTTCATCTAAGAAGACAAGGGAAAGATCTTTACTTAAGCAGGTTTCTCACTTATATTCAGTTCTAGAGACTTCAACCTCCCTTTGGTTGAAGGACCCATCTTTCTCAGCTTGCAAGAGCTCTGGCCTCTTGTTTGTTTAGTGCAGGGGTCGGCAATCTGCGGCTCCAGAGCCGCATGTGGCTCTTTGGCTGCCCGCTTGTTTTTTGAGGAAGTGTGAGGTATTCTCAAAAATAATGGAAATGGTCATGCAGATTGTTAACAAAATAATGGCAAGCGCTCTCAATCATCGGCAGTTTTACGAGATTCTTCAAGACATTAACAGCCAATATTCTGATCTTCTCTTGTATAACAAGGTAAGATGGCTTTCCAGAGGTGCAGTCCTGGTGAGGTTTGCATCATGTCTTGAGGAAATTAGGGTGTTCCTACAAGGAAAGGGCCTTAAATATGTGGCGCTAACAGATCCTCACTGGCTGCAGAAATTCAGTTTCTTGGTGGATTTAACTTCTCATTTAAATGTGTTGAATCGGAAGCTACAGGGAAAAGGAAATACTGCAATTTTGCTTTTGGAAGAAGTTCTTTCATTTAAACGAAAGCTGTCTTTGTTTGTAAGGGACATTGAGACGGGCGTGTTAGTGCATTTCCCAATACTGAAGCAATACAAACAAACAAATGACTGTGACATTGACATTAGATTTCTTGCAGAAACAGGCATCAGAATGCAAGCTGCATTTGCTGTCCGATTTCAAGAGTGCAGAAGGGAAAAGGCCACTTGGTCATTTCTGTTGAAACTGCTTGAAGCTGACACTTCTGCATTGAATTTTTCAGCATTTGCGGGAATCCATCGAGTGCAATTTGAACTTGAATTAGCGGACTTGCAAGACAAGGATTTATGAATTCAAAATTGAAAGATCTTGTCACTGAACTTAAAAATCTGGAAAGGCAGAAATCCACCATGGGGCTACAACACAAGTGGTCTGAAATGGACGATCTTAAGCAGCAAGACCAGATTATATTCGACGTTTGGAATTGTCTACCGGATACATACAGTCACCTGAAGAAATACACATTTGGACTTCTCTCAATCTTCGGTTCAATGTACTTCTGTGAACAAGTGTTTTCCAACATGAATTTCATCAAAAACAAACTCTGTACTTGTCCTTGTTGAACCTCATCAGGTTTCTTTTGGCCCAATCCTCTAATTTGTCTAAGTCCCTCTGTATCCTGTCCCTACCCTCCAGCGTATCTACCACTCCTCCCAGTTTAGTGTCATCTGCAAACTTGCTGAGAGTGCAGTCCACGCCATCCTCCAGATCATTAATAAAGATATTGAACAAAACCGGCCCCAGGTCCGACCCTTGGGGCACTCCACTTGAAACCGGCTGCCAACTAGACATGGAGCTGTTGATCACTACCCGTTGAGCCCGACGATCTAGCCTGCTTTCTATCCACCTTATAGTCCATTCATCCAGCCCATACTTCTTTAACTTGCTGGCAAGAATACTGTGGGACACTGTATCAAAAGCTTTGCTAAAGTCAAGGAATAACACATCCACTGCTTTCCCCTCATCCACAGAGCTAGTTATCTCCTCATAGAAGGCAATTAGGTTAGTCAGGCATGACTTGCCCTTGGTGAATCCATGCTGACTGTTCCTGATCACTTTCCTCTCCTCTTAGTGCTTCAGAATTGATTCCTTGAGGACCTGCTCCATGATTTTTCCAGGGACTGAGGTGAGGCTGACTGGCCTGTAGTTCCCTGGATCCTCCGTCTTCCCTTTTTTAAAGATGGGCACTACATTAGCCTTTTTCCAGTCATCCGGGACCTCCCCCGATCGCCATGAGTTTTCAAAGATAATGGCCAATGGCTCTGCAATCACATCCGCCAACTCCTTTAGCACCCTCGGATGCAGCGCATCTGGCCCCATGGACTTGTGCTCGTCCAGTTTTTCTAAATAGTCCCGAACCACTTCTTTCTCCACAGAGGGCTGGTCACCTTCTCCCCATACTGTGCTGCCCAGTGCAGCAGTCTGGGAGCTGACCTTGTTTGTGAAGACAGAGGCAAAAAAATCATTGAGTACATTAGCTTTTTCCACATCCTCTGTCACTAGGTTGCCTCCCTCATTCAGTAAGGGGCCCACACTTTCCTTGGCTACTCACCATTTTGGGGGTCTTGTGGCTCATGTGTGCTTGCCTGGGGTCAGCCAGTTAGTGACAGGTGTGTGAGTACTGGCTGTGTTTTAAAGCACTGAATTAGTGTTATCTGTGTTGCAAACAATACTGCTTCTGTAAAATGTTGCATTTAAATTTCACAGAGATGATCTTGGGAGCCCAGCCTCCCTCTTTGTTATCGGTGGCAGAACGGCTGCACAGAATTAGAAAGCGGCCAAGAAGAATTAAGAAGGACTTTCTCCATGAGGTTATGATGCGCTCCGCTGCCAAGAAACAGGAATTGAAGGAGTGGCAGGACAGCGAGAAGAGGGACCGAAAGGAGAACGCAGCACACCAGAAAAAAGCCACGGAGCGGATCTTAGATGTTATGGAGTGCTAAGTGGACATGCTCCAGGCGATACTAGCTCTTCAAACCGAGCAGCTCCGCACCCACCCTTCCCTGCAACCGCTGTCACAAATCTCTTTCCTATGCACCCCACACACACCGCCAACACACTGTTATCAACCTCCTGTCTCCACTCTCTACCCGCAGCATTCCAATCCTCCCTGCTCAAAGTCCAGCACTGTGGACTCCCACTACCCACTGCACTCAACATCCATCCCTCTGCAGTTTGGCCCTGCTGAAGTACAGCACCCTCTGCATTGTACTCCAAAGGAAAGGTTGGGCATGATCCCTGGGCATACACAAATCTGTAGCCATCTTGGGACTCCTTCCCCTCTGGAGACCTTCCCTTCCCCCCTCCCCCTCCCTGCTGATGAATTTTTTCATTTAACTCTCTCCTCCAGTTGTTGTCTTTTAATAAAATAATTCTGTTGGTTTGAAAGCAATGTTTATTCTACTAAGTGAAAGCAAAATGAGCACTGCAAAGCAACATACAGTTATGTTAAACCCCCTTCTTGCATCATGTGAACCAATCACCTCCTAGCATTACAAACACTGCAATCCCGAGCATAGCAACAAAGATAGTGGCTTTCAGCTTCAAATTGCTGCCTGAAGATATTCCTGATCCTTATGACCCCGCGCTGTGCCCCTCTAATAACCCTGGTCTCTGGCTGTTCAAACTCAGCCTCCAGGTGCTGAGCCTCTGCAGTCCAGCCCTGAGTGAAGCTTTCACCCTTCCCTTCACAAATATTACGGAGCGTACAGCACGCGGCTATAAGTATAGGAATATTATCATCGGCAAGGTACAGCTTCCCATACAGGCATCGCCAGCGGGCTTTTAAATGGCCAAATGCACACTCAACAGACATTCTGCACTTGCTCAGCCTGTTGTTGAACCGCTCCTTGCTGCTGTCAAGTTGCCCTGTGTATGGCTTCTTAAACCATGGCATTAAGGGGTAGGCAGGGTCTCCCAGGATCACAATGGGCATTTTGACTTCCCCTACGGTGATCTTCTGGTCCGTGAAGAAAGTCCCTGTTTGCAATTCAAATACATTTGTTAGTCTCTAAGGTGCCACAAGTACTCCTGTTCTTTTTATGAATAAGCCAGTGTTCCAAAAGATGTGTGCGTTATGCACCTTTCCGGACCAGCCTGTGTTAATGTCTGTGAAACCCCCACGGTGATCCAGAAGCACATGGAGAATCATTGAGAAATACTCCTTGTGATTAATGTACTTGGTGGCTAGGTGGTCTGATGCCAGAATTGGAATGTGCATGCCATCTCTAACCCGTCTGCAGTTAGGGAAGCCCATTTGCGCAAAGCCATCCACAATGGCACACACATTGCCCAGAGTCACAGTCTTGCAGAGAAGGATGCGATTAGTGGCCCTGCACACTTCCATCAACACGACTCCAACGGTCGACTTTCCCATTCCAAACTGGTTTGCTACTGATCGGTAGTAGTCTGGAGTAGCCAGCTTCCACAGTGCAATTGCCACACGCTTCTCCAGCGACAGGGCAGCTCTCATTCTCACATCCTTGTGCTGCAGGGATGGGGCGAGCTCATCACACACTCAAAGCCATGAGTGTGGCTTTCCTCATGCGAAAGTTCTGCAGCCACTGCTCATCATCCCAGACGTGCATCACAATGTGATCCCACCACTCAGTGCTTGTTTCACAAGTCCAAAAGCGGCGTTCCACTGTGATCAGCACCTCGGTGAATACCACAAGCAATCTCATGTCATAGCTACTATGTGTGGCGAGATCATTGTAGCACTCCACTGCAAGACTTCATTACTCACTTGCCTGCACACACATATACAGGAAGACTCACAGGTAAACACAGCCATCTGCAGACAATGGGAGTCATCAAGATTCCAAACCATCATTAATGGCCCACACTTTACATAATTACAATAGGCCCTCAGAGTTATATTTTATATTTCTAGTTTTAGATACAAGAGTGGTACATTTATACAAATCGGATGATCACACTCAGTAGATTGTAAGCTTTGTAATGATACCTTACAAGAGACCTTTTGCATGAAGCATATCCCAGTTACATTATATTCACTTATTATCATGTTTTTATAAAACCATATAGACTGCACAACGTCACAGGAAGTTCCAAATTAGACAAAGTTTTCCTGTTCTCTTCTATTTCCTGGAAAGGCTTGTCCATGATAATCAAGTTGCTGGTTACCTCATCAATCCATCCTGCCATTCCAGGTTGGGAGTTTTGTAGTTGGGTTTCCAAATCTGTCCAGACAAAGATTTGTATCTCCAACCACAGGTCTCTCAGTCCTTTCTGGGAAACCTCTAGATGTTTCTTTAAGTTTTTTTTCCAAGGTCTTCAGCTCCTGTTTTAAATTATTTTGAGAAGTCTCCGGTTCGTGTTGTAAACCTTGTTTTAATTCTGTTTTGGGCATCTTCGTATTCTGCGAGCACCTCCATTATAGCTCAACAAGAATGCCAGCTCACAATTTCTCTCCTTGGAAATGCTATCCTACCACTAACAGTGTTGCTCCTTGGTTCAGGTAGTTAGCCAATATTTGATGTCTTGTCATGTTTTTGTTAGGAGGAGAAATTAATGTTATGTGTCAGGTATTTCTTTGATCATAGAATCATAGAATATCAGGGTTGGAAGGGACCTCAGGAGGTCATCTAGTCCAACCCCCTGCTCAAAGCAGGACCAATTCCCAGCTAAATCATCCCAGCCAGGGCTTTGTCAAGCCGGGCCTTAAAAACCTCCAAAGAAGGAGACTCCACCACCTCCCTAGGTAACGCATTCCAGTGCTTCACCACCCTCCTAGTGAAAAAGTTTTTCCTAATATCCAACCTAGACCTCCCCCACTGCAACTTGAGACCATTGCTCCTTGTTCTGTCATCTGCCACCGAGAACAGCCGAGCTCCATCCTCTTTGGAACCCCCCCTCAGGTAGTTGAAAGCAGCTATCAAATCCCCTCTCATTCTTCTCTTCTGGAGACTAAACAATCCCAGTTCCCTCAGGCTCTCCTCATAAGTCATGTGCTCCAGACCCCTAATCATTTTTGTTGCCCTCCGCTGGACTCTTTCCAATTTTTCCACATCCTTCTTGTAGTGTGGGGCCCAAAACTGGACACAGTATTCCAGATGAGGCCTCACCAATGTCGAATAAAGGGGAACAATCACGTTCCTCGATCTGCTGGCAATGCCCCTACTTATACAGCCCAAAATGCCGTTAGCCTTCTTGGCAACAAGAGCACACTGTTGACTCATATCCAGCTTCTCGTCCACTGTGACCCCTAGGTCCTTTTCTGCAGAACTGCTACCCAGCCATTCGGTCCCTAGTCTGTAGCAGTGCATGGGATTCTTCCGTCCTAAGTGCAGGACTCTGCACTTGTCCTTGTTGAACCTCATCAGGTTTTTTTTGGCCCAATCCTCTAATTTGTCTAGGTCCCTCTGTATCCGATCCCTACCCTCTAGTGTATCTACCACGCCTCCCAGTTTAATGTCATCTGCAAACTTGCTGAGAGTGCAGTCCACGCCATCCTCCAGATCATTAATAAAGATATTAAACAAAACCGGCCCCAGGACCGACCCTTGGGGCACTCAGCTTGAAACCGGCTGCCAACTAGACATGGAGCCATTGATCACTACCCGTTGAGCCCGACGATCTAGCCAGCTTTCTATCCACCTTACAGTCCATTCATCCAGCCCATACTTCTTTAACTTGGCGGCAAAAATATTGTGGGAGACCGTATCAAAGGCTTTGCTAAAGTCAAGGAATAACACGTCCACTGCTTTCCCCTCATCCACAGAGCCAGTTATCTCATCATAGAAGGCAATTAGGTTAGGATAATAGGATGAAATCCTATTTACAAAGAACATACAGACTGTCCTATTTCCCAGAACACAATAGGAACAAACTACAGGCAGTTTCTTTGCTCATAATTTCTAAGCCTGCCTTTCCTGTGCCTGAAGGGGATCTGACTCTGCTCCCTCAGGACTGTGTTCATGACTGCTTCTCAGCTTTTCTGATGGCTTTCACAGGGACACACCATTTGCAGCCACTCAATGCTCCAGTCCCTGTGTTTCCAATCAGTCCCCAAGGAAAATCCTCAGCCTGCATGGCTTAGTTGTTTATCAGCTTTGCATGTGCCCTAATGCCTTGGGGGGTGGCTTCCATTGTCTCCAGCATTCTTATTCCATAAAGGAGCCTAATTACTACTTCTGTTTAGTCTGAATGGAAGGTGGCTAGCATGACCATAAGTTTTAAAGGGGCTGTGGTTGCCTATAGATCAATTACACTATTTGATGGCAGCCATAACCACAATACCTTGCTCTTATATCTCAAAACAGATGATTATTCCTTCACACCGTCCAACTTAATATTGCACAATAAATTATTGAAAGGCAAGTAGTTCAAAAATTATTCCACATGTTGCTTAATTACAAGAAATAAATATTTAGTATTTGTAAAGTGGTTGAAAATCAGTCCTACAGAAACCATCAAAAATAACTCTGTCCACAGGCAACTTTAAAAAAAAAATCTCAAAAATATCTATCACTTTATTTGAAAAAAGCTACAAATTACCATATTTCACCTAATGACATTCAGTTTTCAGACCTGACGATAAACACTCCTGATCTTCTGTGGCGATGAATGGCAGGGGAATGTTCTTTTAATTCCAGCTCTGATGTGTCTCCCGCCTATTCCCACTCTGATCCATCTTTTTTTTCATTCTCAGCTCTGATTTGTATCTTTGTTTACTTCAGCTCTGATCTATTATTTTAACCTACTAGCTGTGGTGTAAAACTTTACAGTGCAGAACAATATGAAAGATAAAATTAGTCTGGAAAACTATTTGATGTGAACAATCAATGCCAAAAAGGATTGATGATGGTTGATCACCAGGCCGCTGGGCCTGTACCCATGCAGAATTAATTCCTTGTCAAATTGAATTATCTTGAAGGCTAGAAATCTAGATTTTTCTTTGACATATCACAAATGCTGAAAATGTTTGTTTTTGTTGCCTTCTGCTTTTCCAGTGTTGTTTTTATTTGTCAATGTTTTAACTTCCTTTGTTTTCACACTTATGCAGAGTCAAAGCAACAAAAGTTCTGTCAAGAAATCATGAGGGTTTTTTAAAAAAAAAATACACCACAGAGTGCAAT